ACTGGCCAGGGGGGAGCAGAAGGCATTGGGGGAGTCCCTGTTCCCCCGAGCACAGCCAGGAGTGACCAGGGACAACGGTCACAAGCTAGCAGAGGGTAGATTTAGGTTAGACATCAGAAGGCGCTATTTCACGGTCAGGGCGGCTAGGGTCTGGAACCAACTTCCAAGGGAGGTGGTGCTGGCTCCTACCCTGGGGGTTTTTAAGAAGAGGTTAGATGAACACCTTGCTGGGGTCGTTTGACCCCAGTACTCTTTCCTGCCATGGCAGGGGTTCGGACTAGATGATCTTCTCAGGTCCCTTCCGACCCTAGAAACTATGAAACTATTTCTTTCCCAGCAGTAGTTGGGGGAATAGGGCAAAGGGAAATAGAATGAATGTGGTGAATGTTACTGGTGTTAAACTAATCAGAAACATTCATCTAACATGAGGCCTGAATAACTCCCCCAGGAACTGGCTTCTAGCTGGGGATTGAGGGGTGCTTCCCCTCAAGCCCTCTGAACTGAACTTCCTTTCTAAACTGTAGGCAAAGCAACTATCTCTAACGATGGCGCCACAATCCTGAAGCTCCTTGATGTCATCCACCCTGCTGCTAAGACGTTAGTGGACATTGCCAAATCACAGGACGCAGAGGTATGAGTGTGAACCACTGTCACGTTTTGGGAGATGCATACAAGAAGGGCAAAGGAAGCCTGCTGTGATGCTGGGTTTTAGTTTGGTCCTTGTTTTGCTGCTGGGTCTATGGAGAGCCATGGTATATCTGTGTCCGAGTCCAGGCTTGTGTTTCTAGTTGGAAAGTTTTGTGCTTGGGCTTGGATGTCTTCCTGCGACATCTCTGCCTTTCATGCCAGTGCTCTCCTGGCGGCTCTAGGCTATGAGAGTGATGCACACTCCCTTGCATTGCAGGTTGGTGACGGCACCACCTCGGTGACTCTGCTGGCTGCAGAATTCTTGAAGCAAGTGAAGCCGTACGTGGAGGAGGGCCTGCATCCTCAGATCATCATCCGGGCCTTCCGCACTGCCACGCAGCTGGTAAGGGAGTGCTGTGAAAGAAAGTGGTAGTTTCCCTCTTCGGGTTAGAAATCGCTTCTGCAGCGGACTGGGGTTGGGTTTGGACTTGGGGCTGGAGAGAAGAGGTAGGATCAGTAGCAGCTTTTTCACGTCCCGCTGCAGAACAGCATCTGGTTCCCTTAAGACCCAGTGCCTGATAGCAAATGTTTGTGCCTTTATCTACTTTACTCAGTCCATCTTTGTCCTCTCTTGGGAAAAAGCCTGCAGGGCATTCTGATCCATATTTCCCCTTTAATGTCAGCTCCTGTCACCTGTGTCTGACCTGGCCATTAGCACCCAGTAGAACTTCAAACTTTTGGTTCTTCCCTTGAGGTTGAAAGTAACTGCTGGAGAAAACATGGAAGTGCCTGGTTGAGAAGACCTTTCCTTACATCCCTAGACTCTTTGAGAGGCCTGTCAGTCATTGTCAGAATAATGATTTGGGGGTACTTTTACTGCAGGAAGGGAAATAAAAGTAGTTTGGGGTGCACAGAATTTTTGTTCGTGTAATAGTGTCCAAGATTGCACTTAAGCATGCCTGAGCTATGCATGCTTTTCCATTTTATCCTGCTTGCTTGTAGATCTGGCTTCTTGGCTTTGTACAGAGCAATTGCAGGAACATTACAGATTCTTTTCTTGGGTGTGTTGCCCAGTAGCTATGTATAAGAGAAGATAGATGCTTCTTGACTGTGGGCCAGAAGCAGCAGAATAGTTTTAATACATAATATTAAATTTTAATTTTAATACATAATATTTAATTACAGCAAAACTAAGAATAAGATTAGAATTAAATTTAAAAAAAACACTTGAAAGCTGATCAGAATCTTTACCTTGAGTCGCTAATCCCAGCTCTGGCTTTTTTTTTTTTGACAGGCAGTGGACAAGATCAGAGAGATTGCTGTTACTGTGAAGAAGGAGGATAAAGAGTAAGTTGTCATTTGGATGCCTGGAAAGGTGACTTAGTTGTAGATCAGCATTCTGGTCAGTGTGATGGGTTTTTGCTGCACTTCCTGTGGCATGGTTGAGAAATGTGGGACTAAAATCAGCGTGGATGAGCAGTTGTAGCTACGGTTGGATTTTCTCTGTATCGGAGGCTCTCAAGGCCAGTGATTCTCAGCCTGGGTTAGCAGTTAGGTGTGCCAGCATGATTCACAAGATAAACCCAGAGATTTCAAATAGGAATCCATAGCATTAAAAACATCCTGCCCTGTTATAGTTTTTCTGAGTCCTTTACAACAGAAAAATTGCTCTATTTCTCTGTAGTCAAAAAATGAGTGAAAACTAAGAGCTAGCGCTTCCCAAGTGGTGTCTTGAACCTAAGGAGAGGGGTGCTTTGATTCTGCCAAGGTTGAGAACCACTGCTCTAGCTGTTACAATGGCTCCTTTCTGGTATCCAAAGCTGTGGCTGCCGTGTTAAGTGGCCTTTTTTACTGAGCATCTGCAGCACCTGCTAATGTCAGTGGGAGTACTAGAGGGTCAGCATCTCTCTGAGACTAAACAGGCTTACTTAAGTGCATTAGGAGGAACACCCAAGTGGGCAGTTGATGGTAATGAACCAATGTGCTGTAATGAACAGGCAATCCTTCACAGATAGATATTTTTCTCTCCACAAGGTGTCGATAGCCCTGGCTTGTATGTTGGATGCAATGTACTGTAGTTCTGCTGATGATTAGCATGCATTTCAGTGGTTTCATTGGCTCATGGTTAGGTTTGGGCTCCAGCCCTTTGGGGGTTAGGGGTGGTCTGTTCCTGCTCTCTTGCTTCCCTTCCTTTGGCCCATGTCATAAATACTAATGTAAAAGAAAAGGCCTTTAACGTGGGCGTAATTTTCAGAGGGGCTATGCTTATGCAGTTCCCTTGGCTCCAGTGGGAACTATGAATGCATGCTCAGGCTCCGGTTGTCAAAAAGTGACATAGGCCCTTTTTAGGAAATGAGAGGATTAATCTTTCTCCATTCTCCTCTTTGTCAAATAGGGCTAATGCTCCTCTCCCTTCCTTGGTGGGTTGAGAATTAAAATCCATGCATAAAATTATGCTTTGGCAGTCTGGTGAAAATCACTAGTATGTGAACACGATTTTAATTGTATTCCCTGCCCCCCCTCTCTTGCAGAGAACAGAGAAGACTTCTGGAGAAATGTGCAGTCACCGCCCTCAGCTCCAAGTTGATCTCTCAGCAGAAAGATTTCTTCTCCAAGATGGTGGTGGATGCTGTTATGTTGCTTGACGATTTGTTGCAACTCAAAATGATTGGGATAAAGAAGGTGCAGGGTGGGGCCCTGGAAGTAAGTTCTAGCTGCCTCTTCTTTTAGCACAGAAGGGCCCCAAGAATCCAAATTGATTACTTGGATCTCCTAGTCATGGCCTTGGCTTCTGCAAAGCCGGCTGACAGTTCCTTAAGGGGCTTTGCCTTGCCTCTTAATTCCTTGTTTCCATGAGGCATTAGGCAGTAGTGGGTAGGGTTGTGTTCTCCCTATATAGATGAAGGTCTTGATCCTCCACAGTGTTGCAGTTTGTACGCAGTGCTGAGTGAAGGAACAGTGAGCAAGTGGAGGCCTCTGGGGGCTTTTACCTGCATGGCATGGCCTGTGGGGTAAAGTCACACCAGTGGTTCCCACCCTTTTAAGACTGTGGACCGGAAGTGACTGTGGATCAGCATGCTTCAGTCCAGAAGTGACTGGCATACTGTGGACTGGCAGCCAACCCCCTTGCAGACCGGCAGGCAACCCTTCACAGCCCAGTACTGGGCCACAACCCCAGGGGTTGGGAACCTCCGACTTACACACGTGCAGCCCAAAGGAGAGATTATCCTTAATGCCTGCCTGGGTGATAGATCCTAGTGGCTTCCAAAACCAGAGCAATGTAGCCCCTAGAAACCAAGTTGTAACTGGTCTAGTACTGGCCAGGATGGATGGACTTATGAGGAGCGTATCCATCTGTTGGCTTGCTGTAGTTCTTATATGATGCCCATTCACGTGATACCAGAGT